GGGCATGGTAGTGCATGCCTGTAATTCCAGCTACTCGGAAGGCTGAGGAGGAAGGATTGCCGGAGCCCAGCAGGCGGGGCTGCGGTGGCCAGGAGCGGCCACTGTGCTCCAGTCTGGGCGACCGAGTGAGACTCCCACTCAAAAAAAAAAGAAAAAAAACCCCAAAAAACAGTGATCCTCATTTCATTCCATTTTGGGTCATATTTAGCCTAAATCAGTATTTTCCAAAGCTTCTTTCCATATTTTACCATACTGGTTTACACCTGTAAATTTTTTCAGTGAATTTTAAAGACATAACAATAAATTTATAGGAAAATACTATGCTTTTTATGTGAAAACCATTTCTATATGTAAAATGTAGTAACTTGTCAGATAACCCTGGAGTTTCAAAGAATCTGTCTCCTTGGGCCTTAAATTTTTCAAAAGGAAAAAGTCAGTGAAAATTGATCTAAAACATGGAGATAAAACAGCTAAGTTGATAGGACAAAAATGCAAGGGTATAAGTTCAAAGAATTAAGCTGTTTCTGTATTTGTCTCACTTTGGGCCTTAGCTTATTTTAGGCTTCTTGGCTTGGCTTCACTTCCTGGTTTTTAAAAAACGATATATCAATATGTGTGTCTATATGGGTGAAATGTATGTATGCATGTATACTACAGTTTTAAATCTCTGCTTCCCTCAAGAAATGAAGTAATTGAACATGGGAATAACATGGATAGGTGGAATTCACATCTAGTTCCCAAATTCAGTTTATAATTACCAAAAAATTCCAGAACATTGAGAAAATCGGAAAGGATTTAGTTTCACCACTGATTTGAGTTCCTCCCACTCTTTGGGAAGGTGCTGGCAAGCTGTGAAGTGGCCCAAATATGAGCAGAAGGCTGAAAGAGAAATAGAGACCTAAAAGATTCTACAAATACCTCCTGAAAAATTGAGAGTTGGCTTTACCTTAGACTAGAGGGAGTTATTAGGAACTCTAGAATAAGGACAAAAAGGGGAAATTTCTCATTTCTAAAATATACCCCATATGGAATTATTTTTGACAACGCTAACCAAAGACCTCTTTCTCTTGATCTTACCTGTCTTTGTCAGAGGATTGAGGAGTATCTTTAATGCTTGTTATAAACCAACTTACTAGAGGATACCTGTCTTTTCTTGCTTCTAAAAATATAACACAACAGGAAACTAAAGCAGGGAAGAATGTCCTTGAATAAGTGACAATCTAAGGGAGGAAAAGGGAGACTTCAGAGAGGAAGTGACTTTTGAGTTGGATGTGGAGGACATTGTGTGGTAAGGAAATCCCAGGTACAGGAACGTATAAATACGTAGGGGTTGGAAAGGGCATGGTGTGTTTTGGGAACAGCAACGAGTACAGGAGGCTAGAGTAGAGGGTAAGACATTAGCAGGGTTGGTGCTTTATATGCAAGGCCAAGCAGTCTGGACTTCCCAGGCGAATAAACAGAGGGGCCACAGGATCAGGTGGGTGTTTATAAAGATATCCGTAGTGAAGCCTGGCGGACAGGCTAGAGCAGAAAGAGCCTGGACAGGAGATCAGGAGGCTGTTGCTGAGGTTTGTCAGAGATGAAGGAAAGCTAAGCAGGGACACAGGGGTACCCATTGATTAGAAAGTTGGTAGGTGGAAAAACCTACACGTCAGGTTACAGAAAACAATCAGGTGAGGGCGAATAGACAATAACATACGGAGCAAGGGTTGATTTCCTTTCTCGGGCAGTTTGCTGGTAAAGGGGAGAAAGGAAATATTGTGGGTGGCTTGAGGGCAAAATTGATTTGGGCAAGTGTTCCTTTTATTGTTTCTATTTTTAGGATGAGGAGATTTTAGATTTAAGCACGTTTGTATGAAAAATAAGGAACCAAGTAGAGAGAAACTGTAGGTGAGTGAGAAGCCAAAGTCCTAGGGGACAGCACTGACAGCACAGGTTAGCTTGAGAAGGGAAAAGGATGCCTCTTACTCTGAGAAAATGGGACCGATACAAGCGAATCTCTTCAGATTAAGGAAAAGTGGAGGGAGCGGAAATTGAGGAAACTCAAGCCTGATAAACTTCTTTTTTTTCCTTTGAAGAAGGAACTTAGGCCATCTACCAAAATCAAATAGCTTAAATGGGTGAAGGAGTTGAAGAATGTGAGGAAGACGGAAAGCTCATGAAATAAAACAGGGGATTACAGAGGGACGAGAAAAAGGACTCCTGAGCAGACTTCAACTTTAGAAAATAAATGTTGAAACTTTAAAATTGAAAAGTTTGCAACAGTTTCTCCCATGATCCTTTAGATTTATTGATCCAAAGTTGACAGAGGCATGATATGTTTCCCAACATAGGAAGAGAGGAGGTTGAAGACAAAAGGATGTTGCCATTTCTGCCATGAAATGGATATTCATGCCCTTCTACCAAGTTTGGGGCGAAATGTCATGAATTTGACACCCAACAGTAGAGCAGGTGAAAAGCCAGAATTTTGGCAGCGTTTTCTCTGTGCAAATCTTTGTATGTTCTGTTCCAAACTGACAGTTGCAGTAGTCTTTTAATTGAAGCACTAAAACAAGATTTTTGGGAACAGTATGACTCAGATCACATTTATTTTTAGTGGTGGAATTCAGAAAATAATAATGATGACAATAATGCGGTCAGGTAAAGTAAGAGGAGGATGAGGGACATCTAGAAAAGTGGGTTGGTAGAGGACACTGAATCCTTAATGAGCTCTAACGGGACTGGGAGTCATTAGAGTATAAAAGTAAAGTTGATGAAATTATAAAGCATTTTGTAAAAAGATGGCTTTGATTGTTGTAAGAAATAATGAATGGAGAAGGGTCTATATGAGAAAAGTGAGGAAGATGAGAGGATTATGTTTGAGAATGGAAGGAGTGAAGCTGAGCATTTGTAGAGTCAACAGACTAATTGACACACTAACCCAGGTAGTTATATAAGTAATGATCTGTTGTTCTGTGTGTCTAGTTATGCAGCCTGCTGGACAGGGCACGTTGCCTACATGGATTCTAGCAGTGATGTCTATGGCTTTCTCTTTCCTCTTGAGCTCCCTGGGCCTACTGAGGATTAAACAGGAAGTGAAATGTTGGAGAGAAAGCTTTCTTGGGTAGAACAGGTATCAGAAACAACATATAGTTAAATCACTTAAGTAAATTTACTTACCTTCATTTATCTTTCTCAAGTCCAAAAGCTCCATTTTAGTGCACTGGAAAGGACAGGTATTGGTGATAGTTGTGTAGGGAACATGTGGAATGCACAATAACCACCAAGACGAAGGGGGGGTGATCAGAGGCAAAGAAGGAAGCAAGAAGAATATGGTAGTCTCTACAGACAAGAGAAAAGTGGCCAGACATTCTCTGTCCTGTCGAAGTTACAGGTAAAGCAACATTAAAAGGTAGAAAGCCAAGCAGACTGGGAATAAGAGAACTGCATCTTAGTTTCCTTGTGTGAGGCCTCAGATCAGCCACATAACTTCCCGGCTTGAGGGAGTAGGACTGGATTCTTAGAATCCCTCACAACTCAAACCTGCCTTCACGCTCATGACACGAAGCTATTTATTGATTTCTAAAAACAAGCACACAGCAAAAATGAAGTGTTTGATGACGAGAATGAGCAGAACTTTGGCTTGTTTCTTTCAATGTGGACTTGTTCTCAAATTTGAATTAAACCTAGCCATCAGTAAAATAACAAATCAACAAAGTTTTCCTACATAGGACTGAATTTTTCAGTATAGCAACAAATTTACATTTGACATTGTCGCTATGCTCAGTTAAGTTTAAGTGATAGCCAGAGGCACAGACTCAAGAGTTTAAGCTGGATAAGGAATTAAGTCCGGGGACTGGTAGTTATTTAACCAGAGAGTATTTTATCAAAAACTATTTTGTAAATTCTTCCCAGGAAATTTAGCTCACAAGCCAGTAAGTTGCAACCAGAGTCATGGCGTTTGCCGTGAATGTTCTGTACACACACAGTAACTTCTGATGCCTCCACTTTCTAATTCCCACAGGAGATGCCGAACATAAGCCATACATCTGTGGGGATGCAGATTCTGCCTCTACTGTTCTGGACGGGACTGAAGACTACCTCATTCTGGCCTGTGATGGCTTCTACGACACCGTGAACCCTGATGAGGCAGTGAAAGTTGTGTCTGACCATTTGAAAGAGAATAATGGAGACAGCAGCATGGTTGCCCACAAATTAGTGGCATCAGCTCGTGATGCTGGGTCAAGTGATAACATCACTGTTATTGTGGTATTCCTGAGGGACATGAACAAAGCTGTAAATGTTAGTGAGGAATCAGATTGGACAGAGAACTCTTTTCAAGGAGGGCAAGAAGATGGTGGGGATGATAAGGAGAATCATGGAGAGTGCAAACGCCCTTGGCCTCAGCACCAGTGCTCAGCACCAGCCGATCTAGGCTATGATGGGCGCGTGGATTCATTCACTGATAGAACTAGCCTGAGCCCAGGGTCCCAAATCAACGTGCTGGAGGACCCAGGCTACCTAGATCTCACACAAATAGAAGCAATCAAACCTCACAGTGCCCAGTTTTTGCCACCAGTTGAGATGTTTGGTCCTGGTGCACCAAAGAAAGCAAATCTCATTAATGAGTTAATCACGGAGAAAAAATCAGTTCAATCATCATTGCCAGAATGGAGTGATGCTGGAGAGTTTCCCGCTTCTTTCAATTTGGGTTCAACAGGGCAGCAGATATACAAAATGGAGAGCTTGTCTCCTGTCTGTTCTGGGTTGGAAAATGAACAGTTCAAATCCCTGGGAAACAGAGTTTCTAGGTTGTCTCACTTACGCCACCATTACTCAAAGAGGTGGCACAGATTCAGGTTTAATTCCAAGTTTTATTCATTTCTTTCTGCTCAAGAGCCTTCCCACAAAATAGGCACTAGCCTGTCCTCATTTATTCAAAGTGGGAAGAGAAAGAGGATGTTAAGAAGTTCTCTGCCGTGGAGGCAAAATAGTTGGAAAGGGTACGGTGAAAATATGATGAGGAAGTTCAGAAAGAGTAATGATATTCCATACCCAGGTCTTCCCTGGACCTATAAAATATAATAATTTTTCTTTCAAGTAGGCTAGCTAGCTGTCCCCCAATAAAAACACCATCAGAGTAGAAATACGGTAGACATTTCTAACACACATGTGCTTCATTATGAATCCATGGATGGCTCAATTCTTAAATGTAAATAGATCTCTAGGAAACTTAAAAAACAGTGTTTTCAATCTAACAAAAGTATTGGCAGTTTCACTTGCAAAATTATACAAGTGGTCCCTGTGATGTGTCTCCACACCTACAAACAATCCCCTACCCGCCATCCCCTCATGTCACTAGTGGAAGCTTGAGAGCTGGTTCTTTCAGTCAGGATATATAATGTTGAAATCTCAACGCAGTTGAAATCTGGTCTGATGTGCCTAATATATCTACAGAAAACATAATGCTGAATTAAACTTAGTTGCAAAATGTCCTTCAGAATCCTGGGGACTATGAAGGAAACACCCTCTCCCTTTTTGGGTAGGTAAAAGACTAAAAGCCATACGGGTTTTATCTGGTCACAGTGAAGGTAGAAAACTAAAGTAAAAGTGTCACATTCTCAAACTTGTGAAGCAGTTTATAGTCAGAAAGACTTGCTGATTTTTTTCTGTAACATAAAAGACTATGAACATTTTTTGAATCAAAAAATACTTCCTAGAACTGTAGTTATTTGGGAGTTTCATAACCTGTTATGGTGCTTTTGGTGGAATTTTTATTATTTAGCATTTTAGGAGACCGCTGTCAACTGGTTTTAATCTATGATGCTAATGTGCTTTTCACTGTACCTTCATCTCAGGAATAAAACTGGTTTAATGGAGATGATGTCAGGTACAAATACACTAGAATCATATGCCATTTAAAAAGAAAATCTAATAGCGTTTCTATGTTTTCTGCCTTTTTTAGTTCAGACAGCAGAGGAATATACTACTATAAAACAAAGAGTGAAGATTGCTAGTTTTAATGTCTTTAAAGTTATTTTCCCCAAGGGAATTAAGTCATTGGCATGAAGGAAGCTGAAAGTATTGCCTAAAGGGAGCCCAGAGGCCAAGTGCAAAGGACAATGCAGATTGCTGAGAGCCAGGTCTGTTTAGTCATAACTGGAGGACACACACGGGTCTTGCCACTTGCAGCTTCAGACTGCAGAGAGTGTCCCTGCTGTAGTTTCAAGCTTGAAGCACATCTTCAACTAAAGACAGCAAGGAAACTAATCATCACATTCATTCAGTGAAGCAGCCTGACTCTGAGCCGCGCGGTCTCAGCCGTTGGCCTCCCCTGGTCGACCGTGGACCAGCCCCACCATGGGCAAAGGGAGCCCGCTGCAGCGTTGGCCCGTGCTGCTGAAGGCACCAAGTGCTCTTGCTGAGAAAAGTCTACTGCCTGACCATGTTTTTACCTGATAATACGTCTACTTTATGTTCCCCAGGCCCATAATGAAGGACTGAAATTCCTGACTTTAAAGACACAGACCACTGTAGCATACTCTGGGTGCCAGTATAGCTGTAGTAAACATGAGTCAAAACACCTGCACTTTAGCAATGATCAAATTGTTAATCTACAGACTTTATTTTTTAAGATTCAGATGTAAGAAGAGATTTTCAGTATTTGTTTTTCTCTTGATTTTGAAGTCATTTCTTCTTCTCTCAAGTCTGTTACACCTGGTGAAAAGTAGCAAACATGGCTCCAACTAGACTCTTTCCATTATTCTGATGCTTTGCCCCATTCACGGACCTCACGCGTATCTGTCATTTTCAGAAGCCTAGATCTTGTTAACCTTTCACATGCAGTGTCAGTTTCAAATCAAATTATCTAAGAAAACAAGAAAACAGGCAGCAGACTATTGGTACACATTATAGTCCAAAGTGCTTAGCTAAGTAAAAAAAAAAATTTTTTTTAATTACTATAGTTATCTTTTGGTAATGTTTTTGATAGAAGAAGGTGAAAGGAAAAAGATACAAATGATAGGCTTTTTCAGTGGGGAAAAAAAATGGTTGGACAAAACCAGGACAAGCACAGAGCCATCTTGAATGGTCTGGATTGTGTAGGTCTGACTACATGGCAGTGTTACATCATTTTTCATACCATGAGCTCTCTAGAAAATAAGGCAAAGTAGTTCTAGTGTGGTCGTTAGAAAACAACATTGTAAAAAGTAGCTAATATTCATTTGTTCACAACATGCATATTTATAGATAGTTAGGTACCATTTGTAAGGTAAGTCCTTTACAATTCTATAATACATACTAAAGTAGTGGTTATCGGTCTGATATATGCTGCTCTTGGTTCTATAAACTAGATAAAAAGCAGCGCTTTGTGAAACGCAGTGTTATATCTTAATGCCACTGGTGATAGAAAGTAGTTCCCTTCAGTTCAAATCCTGTGCCCTTATCTGCTGCTTGCTGACGTAAGCAATAAGTAACCCTCTAACTAATGGTATCTACACATTTCTGTAACCTGTATTTAATGATGGTGTATCTGGTGATCGTAAAAATATTAGACAGATATAAAAGTATCTATATAATATATATTAACTGTTGATGCTGAGGTACAGTCTGTGAATTATGTGTTTGTACTTTATTCATGTGTAATTTAGTGGTGGTGAGAGTTCTACACTCAATCCTTAAGAAGTGGCAGTATCCCTTTTTCAATTTAACACGATCTGCATCATTCTGTTTGCCTGCTAAACAAGTTTTGTTAGAATAGGAAATAGTAAAATATAAACAAGAAAGTGTAGTATTGGTTAGGGAAACAGACTTCAAGTCACCAACTGAAGTTATTACAAGACTCCTTGTACATTCACTGTGAGTTTCAAAGGGAGTCAGTCCCTAATTTAAAGGTTTCCTTTGTTCACTTTCTAGATGTGTACTTTTGAAGGATATCTGAGGTTAGGCAACATTACAGCGACAAATCCTGGGGCTGTTAATCCCACGTAGGTCTGTACTAAAGAGGATGGGTAGAAACACATGTATATACCTTTTCCTTGCCTAGAAGTGCCATCCATTGTCCTTGAATTAACACGATTATAAAGTTACTGTTGCATTTAACTACAAGGCTGCTTTAAAGTTAACACTTTTCCAAGGACAGTGTCAACAATGTCAGTGTCAACACTGAGTCTAATTCTGACCACATTTATAGTGGTATAGTGTCAACACTGCATTTTCATGACAACCACACTCCATTGTTGGAACACTGTGCCAGAAAGAAATTCAATATCCAATGGGCATATAAAAATGACGCATGGCAAGTTCAGTGTTTACAGATAAAACTGCTGTGGTTCAAGTACTTCCTTCACCATCAAAGCCTTTTTGAGGCTTTGTGAGAAAATGATCTAAATTATTATTTTAATTTTTAAACCTAATTTCTTCACTCAGTGAGCATTCTCACCTAAGCAAGGCCATAAATGGGGATATTATAATTTCATTCACAGCTTAATTTGAGACAGCTTTTCTTTGGAACACAAATTAGTAAAAGAAAGAACTTTTTTTCACCTTTGAAAGTCATGTTATATTAAAGGACAAATACCAACTCCTCTGTTCTGTAACTAGCTTAAATGTCTCTTGCAAAACAAAATAAGATACTGCCAGTATTATAAACACAACTGTTTTACCGACACATGGTACTGTGTTGAAAAATAAGTGTTACTTCCTATATAGCAACATTTTATTCCTGTCTTGAAGACTATTTATTGTACTAATTAGAAAACATGAAATAGGACAGGAAACTCCAGACAGACACAGCAGTTGTTTTTGAAAAGGAAATACGCTAATAAACTTCGATGAATTAAATAATCCAGATACATCATTGTAAACTCTTACTCTAGGTGCTCTTTGGTGAGAGACAGGCTTTGTTCTTTTGTTCATGACATTTCTCTGCAAAGAATTCTCTATGGAGTGAAACGAATGAAGTGAATCATTCCTTTCCAAGTAATTCCATCAATTTAAAACCCACTCTACAGTTCACTTTTGAGTTCAGTTGTGATGAGTGATCTTCATATTTTATTTATTAAAACTGTTCATTCTGGTAAGAAATATGTTGAAATTTTGCCAATTATCTTAATAAAACCCAGCAATTTAAAACCACTAGTCATTTGTCTTTTTACTTAAAGGAAAGAGAAGTTACTTAGTGTTTAAATTTGGGAGGATTCCCTCAGAACTGGAAAATAAAATCCTGAGGTGGCAGGTTTCTTAAGCTTGGGACATTTCAAAAAAGACAATTTGCCAAGTGCTGCTATAACATTTTTCCCCATAAAACATTTTTTTCACCTTATGCATATTCTCAACATTAGTTTAACTGGGAAGAGAGGGAGGTAGAGGCGTGGGAATCCGCAGAAGAGAGGGACAGGACCAGGGCCGAGTGGTGGCTCAGGTCTCTCCACGACTCCATCGCAGAGCTCTGCAATAGGTGTTTCCTCTTCACTTGGCCTTTCCCCTTCTAGTTGCCAGCTAGGAGAAAGTGAGGAAACCGTCAGGTGAGTTGCAACTGAGGCCTTTCTGGAGGCCGCAGGAGATGAAGACAGCCACTTCAGCAAGATACAGCCACCTAAAGGGAGGGAATCTGGACCTCCTGGACCAGTGAGCCTGGTGAACACTGCACTGCCCCGCCCCTTCCTCCCCTCCACTAAGGCCTTTACTGTTAACTGGGCACAGTTAACAGTCTTTCAGCAGTCATCAACTCCCAATTCCCTAAATTCTTCACCCCTTAGCATGACTTTATACAGAACCAAAAGCAGTGAGAACTGAGGAAAAAAGTAAAGTTTTGAAAGGATGATATATTTGAAGGGGTTTCCTAAAGGAGGGCTAGAAAAGGAACATATGACGACCAATAAGTGTTATTTACACTTGAAGAAATCCTCTAAAATATAGTGTTATCTAGTTCAATAGGAACATCTCTTTCTGTGGCAGCAACACACAGCAAGATATAAGTGAACCACTAATCATTTGAGCTTCACAGAAATTTACCCAAGCTACCAAGTTATCAGAAATGACTGTCTGCATTTAACAAGGTACTTAACCAATCATTTCCTTTTTTGATTGGAAGGTTTCTCGGTCACCTTAACAGCAATTAGTAAACACTTACTTTTGCTTGGCCTAGGAATAACCTTATGGAAGATCCTTTCATTTACATTTCAAACAAATCAGGCTCTTTTCTGAGCCCAAACCCTTGCCTATCATTCAGTAAGAAAGTGCCACCCCTTCTGAGGATGTCACAGGTTGCCGCAGGATGCAGGATGCTGCCCCAGTCATGAACCTCCAGATGAGACGGCAAGCAGAGCCCTCATGCACAGATTGTCTGGTTTTACCAATCTTGCTTTAGGACCAGGGAAACAAATGTGGAAAAACTGTCAAGAATGATTTATACTCTTGGAGAAACCACTTTCCAATTACTGGAGTTTACCAAAGATGAAAAAGCCTTTTTGAGGCTTTAGTGAGAAAATGATCTAAATTATTTTATTTATTTTATTTTTGTTCCTCGGCAATATGATAGCTATCAAGCCAAACAGAGTTGCTACAGGCTCACCAGAGCAAAAAACTTTTTTTCTTTTTCTGAGAGAGGGTCTCATTCTGTTGCCCACGCTGGAGTGCAGCAGCACATCCTGGCACACCACAGCCTTGACCTCCTGGGCTCAGGGTGATCCTTCTGCCTCAGCCTCCCGAGTAGCTGGGACTACAGGCACATGCCACTAATTTTTTTTTTCTCGCTATGTTGTCCAGGCTGGTCTCAAATTCCTGTGCTCAAGTGATTCTCCCGTCTCGGCCTCCCAAAATGCTGCCCACCATGCCTGGCTGAGTTTTTTCAAATCCACTGGAAAGCTGAAGCTGTAGAGTAACAGAAGGGCCCAAATCGAGAGGGGCAGGTGCCTGCAAGGGGAGAGGAAACATGAGCTCTAGTTTCTGCAGACACCAGAAAGAACAGTTGAGTTCAAGGACATTGGCGAAAGCAGAGAATATGGGACCACAGAAACGGGGAGCCCACCTTCTCTGGCAGGCTTTTTCTTCATAACCTCTACCAGGTGAGTGACTGGAAAGAGCCCTAAGAAGTGTCCACTGTGGTACAGACCAGGAGAGAGATACAGCGGCCTGGAAGGGTGAGGAGTGAGGGGGATCAAGGAACTCACCAGACACTTTCCTTTATCTCCTCCAAGGAACAAAAGAGTTATTCTCTGGGGGACATGGCCACAAATACTGCTGCCCTGAAGACACTGGTAAAAAGTCATTACCGCAGAGGGAAGGCAACAGGGAAGAAAAGCCCTATCCCTGGGGAAGGGGCAGAAATGACACCAGGCCTACAACCAGCTGGGAAGCGCCAAGTAAACTGACACCTCCCAGCTAAGGACCCAGTGCCTCAAACTGCAGCTTAATCCAAGAATGCCAGCCCCCAGGTTAAGCTTCAAGTAACAGTAGAATACTTCTGGGAGAAGTCCAGGAGAGCAACACGAGCAGGCAGAGAGCTCTGAGGCAGAGCGCAAAGCTTCTGCCCCTGTAAGCACAGGTCAGAAGGCACAGTGCTCTGGCAATCCAGTCCCCATCAGAAATGCAATGCATCCCCACAGGAACTTGCAAGCACCAAGGTTAATCATAGCAGAGGTCAACCCTGAACCAAGCACGACTCCTAACTACTAGATTAATTCAATCTCTGCAAAAAAGGTCTAAGCAACAGGAAAGCCCTGCCCATTTTCAAGCATAAAATCTATTCAAGTATTTTCTGTTCCACATGAGACATGTCGCTTTTAACAAAATATACAGAGGCATGTAAAAAGGCAAGAAGAAAACACTCTACAGAGATGAAGCAGTCATCAGAACCAGATTCAGATATGACGAAGATTTTGGAACTGAGAGAGAACCGTAAATAACTATGGTATATATGTTTACCAGCTTATTATGAAGGAAATTGCAAAGGACACCGATGAAGAGACATGCAGGGTGAGGTATGGGGGAAGGGGTGCGGAGCTTCCATGCCCTCCCTCTCCCTCGTGTGCCACCCTCCAGGAACCTCCATGTGTTTCACTCTCTGGAAGACAGTTCCTACGTTAAAATGGTAGACAACGTGCAATGGTTGATAAAATCACATCATGTGGGTGATTTTAGCAAAGAGATGGAAATTGGAATTAGCTGTGAGGTTTGACTGCACAGAGCTCATAATAAATCAACTGTTAGGTTGAGCACAGTGGCTCACGCCCATAATCCCAGCACTTTGGGAGTCCGCGGGGTTCAAGACCAGCCTGGGCAACTTGGCAAGACCTCACCTCCACAATAAATTAAAAAATTAGCTGGAGGCAGTGGCATGTGCCTGTAGTTCCAGCTACTTGGAAAGCTGAGGTGGCGGTCAAGGCTGCGCCCAGCAAGTCAAGGCTGCAGTGGCCGTGAGCGTGCCACTGCACTCCAGCCTGGGCGACAGAGTGAGACTCCAACTCAAAACAAACAAAAACAAATAAACAAAAAAAACACAACTGCTCCAGACTCATATCAAAATAATAATTTCATAATTATTTCATTATATATTACAATGTGCTAATAGAAATAACGTGCACAGTAAACGTAATGTACTTCAATCATCCCCAGACCAGCACCTCCCTCCCCGCAGTGTTCCACAAAACTGGTCCCTCATGCCAAAAAGGTTGGGCTCACTGTTCTAGAGAATAGAAGCTTATGCTCCCAAAATGTTTATACATTCATAATCATCCTAAACTAGAAATAACCTAAATGTCCTTCAATGGGCAAATAAGAGTGGTATATCCAACCAGTGGAATACTACTTAGCAATAAAAAAGAAAGAAGTACTGATTCACACAGGATGGATGAAACTTAACTGCATTTTGCTACGTGAAAGACTACACACTATGATTCCATTTATATGACTCTCTGGAAAAGGGACAACTAAAAGAAGAACAGATCACATCAGTTGTGGCCAGGAGCCGAGGGGAAGGAAGATGTGTACCTACAAAGGACAAGCACCAAGGAATTTGGGGGGTGACTGAAATGTTCTGTGTAGTATTGTGGTGGCGAATACATGACATCTGTCAAACCCACAGAACTGTACACCAGAAAGACTGACTTTTAATTCAAGTCGATTTAAAAATCAACCAGAACACATGGGGGAGGACATAATGCAGACTGTAACAGATGAATCGAACCATAGCACAAATGAATCACATAATCACAACACAGGTTATAGGAAAAAAAGAACCAGTATATCTAGATCTAAAGAACTAAACAATTTTGAAAAGTGTCTTGACACAACACTGAAAAGCTAAAGGCAAAAGGAACTGTACACAAGCACTATACTCTGGATGGTAAACTTGTTTCTTGCATAGCAATAAAGGCCAACAGTTTTGATACGACTTGGTTTGTATAATAGGTTTGAATAAGTAAGTAAGTATATTATAGCTGAGAGCCAGGCTAGAATCAGCCCTGTGGAGCTGAACTGGAGTTGAACTGGTATCACTATAGACTCATAGTTTTTCTTTTAAAAAAAATATAGTTTTGTGTACATAAATAGATATACAAAAATACATATTAATATGTGTATTTGCATTAGTAAGTACAGTCAGTCCTATATCTTCAGCTTCTGCATCTGTGGATTCAACTAACCACAGATGGAAAGATAAAAAAACAGGCTGGGCGCAGTGGCTTGTAATCCCAGTACTTTGGGAGGCGGGGGCAAAATGATTGACTGAGTCCACAGGTTCAAGACCAGCCTGGGCAACACGGTGAGATCTTGTCTCTACAATAAATCAAAAAATTAGCCAGGCATGATGGCATGGGCCTGTACTTCCAGCTACTTGGAAGACTGAGATGAAAGGATCGCCTGAACCCAGCAGGTAGAGGCTGCAGTAGCTGTGAGCATGCCACTGCACTCTAGCCTGGGTGACAGAGCAAGACACCAACTCAAAACAAGTAAAACAAACAAAAATAATAGTAAAACATAGTATAACAGTCATTTATATAAAATATATATTGTATTAGTATTATAGGTAATCTAGATATGATTTAAAGTATCTGAGAGTACCAAAACACTGTGCAGCTAAAATTTAAAAAATAAAGTATCTGAGAGGATATGTTGTCTAGAAATGATATGTTTGTGCACAGTATAAGCATTAATAGCCTATCTTTAAGCCTACGTAAAAAACCTATTTTAGGAGAAAGTTTCCAGGAATGAACTTGACATAAAAATACTAAATACTGAAGCAAGGTAATAGCAGAAATCCAAGAGAAACCATGCTCTTCAGCAAAAGGGGAAAGGTTAAGAAAAAAAGTCAGGATTCTATTAGGGTACAGAAAGGGCACGAAAATAGGACAGAGCAAGTGATTCTTCTCCATGCCTCTTCCTCTCCTCACTGCTATCTAAAATCTAGCCAAGGCAGGAAAACTACCAAGGAAGAGGACAAATACCAGTATTTCTGACATCACCGAGGAGCTGGGTGCATCCTTAGTAAGTACAATGGGTAGAAACCTGGGAGAAATTACTCTACTACAAAAGCTAACAGGTCTGAACTAAAGGCTATCAGCTCCGAAGAAGACTTTCAGTCTTTCAGGTTTCCTATGATTTTAGACTGATGAGATAAATGCTCATCATGAAACTAAACACAAAACAAACTAACCAAATATCTGACCTTGTCTATACTACTAAACAGCCTCTGGCAACATGAGTAGAATAAAGGGGTTTACCAACCATGCTGCACATCAAAAACAGGACTGGATTAAAAAAACGTGGCACATATACACAATGGAATATTATGCAGCCATAAAGAGGGACAAACTTATGGACTTCAGAGCAACTTGGAAGGATTTAGTCTTTAATACTCAGTGTTCTATCACAGAAACAAAGATCTGAGTACCACATGTTCTCAGTCATAAGCGGACACTGAAAACTTACCATAATACTATAAGAATAGGATTGGCAGTAGCAAGTCACTGCCAGGGGAGGTGGGGGGAAGATGGCGGGGAGAGGGGCACATACATCAATAAGGGTACCTGATCTCAAACCAGGTGAGTGGGGACCAAAGGGAAGTCCAAACTTTACCTGTATGATATCCACTTGTATACCTAATCCTGAATCGTACCCTTCATCTCTAAAATTAAAAAGAAAAAAGGGGTTTCTGGTTCCACTTTTTTTTAAAAATCAGAGTCTCACAGTGTTGGCCGGGGTGGAGTGCAGTGGCACGCTCATAGTTACTGCAGCCTTGACCTGCTGGGCTCACGTGATCCTTCTGTCTTAGCCTTCCAAGCAGCTGGGACTACAGGCATGTGTCACCATGCTTGGTTAAATTTTTTTTTTAATTGTAGAGAAAAGGTCTCGTCAAATTGCCCAGGCTTGTCTTGAATTCCTGGACTCAAACAATCCTTCCACCTCAGTCTTCTAAAGTGTTGGGATTATAGGCATGAGTCACCGCGCCTGGTCCTAGTTCCACTTTTAATAAATAGGAGAGGCAAATTTTCTCAAGTTAATTTTATTAACAAAAAGTGCAAACTATTTTGAACAAAAGTAAACTATGAGTCACAGCATCCGGCAAGACATTAGACATGGAAAAGTGAATAATGCTCATTAAGTAAAATACAGCAGATGAGATGTCTCTCACATGTATATATAATTATCCATGCTTTTTCAATAGTCTCTTAAGTCAACTTTCAATGTAATTTTCACAAATGTATAACAGCCCAAACACAAATGCAGGAGCACAATGGCAAAGTTTGGCAACCATTCTGAGCTAATTATGAGTATGAAAGAAAACCCAGTATCACAGTTTAACTTTGATGTAAGCTACTATACAATATGTATGAGTCTTTAAACATAATGACAGTGAAATCAATGTCGAACTAATGAGAATAAAGAAGAGACTTTAAGAATATCTGTTATAGTACAGTAAGCGGCAAAAAAAAATAATTTTAAATAATCTTACAGGTGTCTCCATGACCAGAAACAAGACTGATCCACATTAACTTAACTGTTAAGATTACATCTGCAAAAGTCACACAATAGAAAACGTATGTGCCATTAAACAGTGTGCCTGGACTTGAACAAATAAGAAAAGATACATTTTAGCCCCTCAACATACTCCAAAAGGAGATTCAGTCTAGTGTTACTCTAGTTATTCACATAAAGTGTCTACAGAGCAGAATCTGTTCACAAGCAATTGTTCTATTCACTCATCTACAGGCACTAATAAACTATAGACTGTGATTAAAACCCAAATACAAAGGTGGTCATTTAAAACAACTGAGCAACTAGCCAAAGACAGAAGGCACCGATGCTGAGTAGGTTCATGCATAGTCTGCAGTATTTCCGGGCAGCTAATTGGCCTTCTGTTGAAGTAGACAAACTGCCTTTTGTGAATATACGAATGTGTTCACTTAATGAAGGACTACATTTATTTCATGACATCACAAAGAACTCTTCCTACACTGTTAATTTTTTCCTGCATACTACAGTCTTATACTAGAATTGTGCTACTTTCTAACAGTTTCCAAATTACTATTTCAGGTAAAGATGATGAAAAAAGAAGACCAAATCTGATTATCTGACTGATGACAAATTTGAGCACCAACTACAGCAAAATTCAAGGTCAAGGTAGCTTGCAAGTCCGTTTCCTTGATTTGGCAATTACCTTCCACTGTTTGCATCAGTACTGAAGCTGAGATCTTCAGGGCCTATTTGTTCACCATCAGGAAAACTGGAATGTGTATCTAAAATTTAAAAAAAAAAGATAAAAATTCTAAAATTTAAAATGTAACAAGAGTAGTATTTTCCTTCCCAAGTCTTTAGATGATCTTACCAGATGTGTCATTTAAGTGATAAAGATGTGTTGGGTTGTAAGCAAATCTCTGTTCTCCAGAGCATTTATGATTTGAGTCAGGTATGTATAAGCAAGCATAAACAAAAAATAAAGGAGAAGAAAACCAAATGAGTACTAGACACCCACAATTAGAAGATGAAAGGCACTGTCTCACTTTGTCCTCCTGGGGACATTGGGGCAGGGAACAGCTTAAGAAGGGGACAAGAAACAATGATGTATAGACTCTTAAGAGTCAAGACACTATAAACATAAAAAGTATTTCAAAGCTAATTAAACTGCACATGCAAACATGACTAAAAAAACCCACCAGCACTCAAAATAACTTGCTTAAAATGTAAATTGCTTGCTTTAGAAACAGAAGAAATTACTAAAGATGCCTTAATACTTACAAATCGTTAAATGCTTGGCTCTGCATTTAAAAAAAAATACCAGAACACCAGGAAATATGTAAAATATAAGCTGACAATTAGCACAAGCCTGACAATGTTATCATTCAGGAAATCTGCAGAGAAATGCTGAGATTGGTTATTTATTAAGGTCTCTGGGCAACTTCAAATGAATATTTCTCCAGTTTCACAGTATTTCCTTTAATTGTTTAACCTATATTTTAGAAAATCACTTCAGAGCAGAATGACTATGGTAGACCCATATAATATTAAGCTGTCATAAAAAATTTATACAATTTTACATAAAATATATCTAAATGAAAAATGCAGAATACAAAGCAATCTACAAAATAAAAATGCAAATAAGAACAGAAGAAAATGAGATGAAATATTAACAGTAGGTTTCTCTTTACTAAGTTATTTCCTCTAATTTTTTTTTTTTTTTTTTTTGAGTTGGAGTCTCACTCTGTCGCCCAGACTGGAGTGCAGTGGCCGCTCCCGGCCACTGTGCTACCTCGACCTGCTGGGCTCCAGCGATCCTTCCACCTCAGCCTTCCATCCTCTAATATTTTTTTGGAGGATAACTCCATAATCTAAATGCATTATTAAGAAATCAGAAAAGGTTATTTTTTAAAAGTTGTCCTGTGGTAGGCTAGAAAGTTCTCTAAAAAAAAAGAAAAAAGAAAAAAGCAAACATCAGAAACTTCCTGGGGACTAGCAAGCATTTTCTATAAAGGCAGACAGTAAACACGTAGGTTCCACAGCCCAAGCGGGTTCTGTTGAAAATTCTTCTTTGCGTCTTTTGTTGGTTCTTCACAACTCTTTACAATGTAAAAGCCATCCTGAGGTCATGAGCTGTACAAAAGCAGGCTGTCAACTCCTCTATTCAGTAAGTAGCACTCATCTGGTACTTACCAAGCCAAACTATACTTACCAGTTTTTTCAGTACTCACTATATAACTGACCAAAGAGTGCTGCCTCAGAAATGACAATTTAAATAAAAAGGAGAAGCAGAAGAAGCAAAAGCAGCAGAGCAGAAGAAGTAGAAGCAGAAGAACAAGAAAAAGCAGTAGCAGTGATGGTTTCATTAATCTTTGTAAAATGACATCATGTGCTGCACCTTCATCTGGGGGCTGTGGCATGAAAGAGTCATTAAATCGGCCCACGCTGGTGTGCTCTTCCTGTTCCTCATTCTCAGTGTCACATTCAATGTCACTGTCGCTACTCATTCCTGGCAGGAAAGAAAGGGAAAACATGCTTTTGATAAGAAACCACTATATGGATCCTGAACACGTATCTTAATACTACAAGAAAGGGATTGGCGGTAGCGGGACACTGCCAGGAGATGGGGGAGCACAGAACATCAATAAGGATACCCGATCCCAAAGCAGGCAAAGTAAGGATCAATGGGAGGTCCAAACTTCACCTGACTGATGATCATTTACGTACCTAATCCTGAACTGTACCCCACGTCTTTAAAATAAACAAATAAAATCCATAGGAAACCAACAAAAAAGTCACTCGAAAGGAAATAGATATTGACTAAACTGAGATTCCTAATGAATTTTACATTGAACGTCAATAATTCAGCAAACAAACCCAAATGAAACAAAAATTTAAAAAGCAACCACACAAACCTCAATCCTCTAGCTATTTAGAGCAAGCACTGATTTTATTTTTGTTCTCAAAGTTGAAAATTGCCCTTTTCACAGTACTTAAAGTTACAACTTGAAACCAGTATTAATTTCATTATACTGATAACATGTTTCCAAATCAAATGCTGTTTTTTTCTAGAGAATCATAAGAACTAACAGGAACTCTTTCAATTCTGATTCATTGTAGATATAATTATAGTCTCTAGCCTAGGACACACATACATATAAAATATAAACATATGTATTATAAATTCCAATATAAATTAGTTTCTATACTAGTTTGGGCTCTAATTTTTTATGTACATTAGTTTATTTTTAAAAAACTTTCTATGAGAAGTATTTCTGTTTCCACAAGACAGTGATCAAGAAAAGCTGAAAACCTTTCTGCTACAAAATCTTATAAATAGCTAGATAAAATATGAAGATTTAAAAGACAGAAGGGAGACCAGGCTCAGTGGCTCAGCCTGTAATCCCAGCACTTTGGGAGGCCAAAGCGAGTAGACTGCTTGAGCCCGCAGGTTTGAGACCAGCCCAGGTAACTTGACATGAACTCATCTCTACAATAAAAAATTTTTTAAAAACAAGCCAGGTGTGGTAGTGTACACCTGTAGTTCCAGCCACTTGGAAGGCTGAGGTAGAAGGATCACTGGAGCCCAGCAGGTCGACGCTGGGGTGGCTATGAGTGTGTCACTGCACTCCAGTCTGGGCAATAGAGTAAGACTCCAACTCAAAAAAAACGAAGGGAAGTCCACAGCTGTCAGAAGCAAAGATATGGAACTTTCATTAGTGGGTCAGATTACAGTTGCTCTGGAGAGCTTGATATGAAGATTTTTAACATGGCCTTTGGGATAGAAAAATGAATGCACCATAAGAAAGGATTTGAAATTGAGGCAAAAATTTCTACCTCTTACAAAAAAGTTAAAATTATTTTTTTATTTTTTTGAGTAGGAGTCTCACTCTGATGCCCAGGCACTCATAGCCACCGTAGCCTTGACCTGCTGGGCTTAGACAATCCTTCTGCCTCAGTCTTCCAAGTAGCTGGAACCATAGGCAAGCACCATCACGCCCAGCTAATTTTTTGATTTATTGTAGAGACGAGGTCTCGCCAAGTTGCCCAGGCTGGTCTTGAACCCCTGGACTCAGGCAATCCTCTCACCTTGGCCTCTCAAAGTGCTGGAATTATAGGCATGAGCCATTGCACCCGGCTAGTTAAAACTCTTATTGAAAGAATAGACTAGAAAAATGTCTGCCTACCAGCATAGGAAAATGGCAAGGATTTTTGTCTGTTTCTACTGGGATCTGTAGAGAGAAGAAAAAGTTTCACCTCAAAATTTAAAGTAAGGTCTGCATGCCTAATTGGGATTTAAAGTTAGGCCCAAACTTTACCTGTACAATGACCATCTGTACACCTACCCTGAATTGTACCCCACATCTTTAAAATAAAAATTTTTTAAAAGAAAAAAAAGGCAAGTTAGGCTCAAATCTCAAAAAATTAACATAAAAATGGCTGAGGAATTAGTGTTATTTGAATAAAGCACATGGAAAATCCTCTCTGGAGGGAAGGTTCCAGATAAGATGGTGTGAACACATTCCACCCTGTCTTGTCTACTGAATGCAGCAATAAAACTTGGAGAGATCATGGCATGGTTATTTAAGGACACTGGAAAGTAAACAGAAACAGGCATATTGGTGAAGCCAGAATTTGAAGTACCACCAAACTGGCAGATCAAAACAAGACCCAGAGTCTTATAAAATCATAAAAAATGTCCAGGATGCAATCCAAAATTACTCAGCATCATGATGAACCAGGAAAAGATAACCAACAAACATTAACAATGAGATGACACAGATATTGAAGTTATCTAACAAGACTTTAAATATAAAAATGTTCATAAATCAACCCTGATGGCATGCGCCTATAGTCCCGGTTACTCAGGAGTTTGAGGCAGGAGGACTGCTTTAGCCCAGGATTGTGAATCCAACCTGGGCAACATAGTGAGACTCTCATATCTTAAAAAATAAACAAACAACTCACAAACACTCCTTTTGATACATTAAAAACCTTCTCTGAAGGAAATTCTCACGAGGGGGAAAAAGTCTCAAAAAGGTATGCTCAAAATAAACAAGGCAAACAATTCACCTGAAGCAAGAATCAGCAGATAGATTCACAAACAGAAGGACAGTGCTGTGATTTTTTTTTTCTATAAGATGGAACAACTCTGCTGGGCATAGTGGCTCATGCCCGTAATTCCAGCACTTTGGGAGGTGGAGGCAAGAGGATTGCCTGAGTCCAGGGTTTCGAGACAAGCCTGGGTAACATAGCAAGGCCTCATCTCTATAATAAATCAAAACATTAGCTGGGTGTGATGGTGCACGCCCACTCCTTGGAAGGCTGAGGTGGAAGAATCATGTGAGCCCAGCAGGTTAAGGCTGTGGTGGCCTTGAGCATGCCATTGCACTCCAGCCTTAGCAACAGAGTGAGACATAGACTCAAAAAAAAAAAGTAAAAGACTACACAATTATGTCTAATTTAAAAAAGGAAAAGGCAATTTTTAAAAGAACCAAATATATTCTCTAGAAATAAAAGACACCGAAATTAAAATATTAACAGATAGCTGGACAAACATGTAAAAGAGATTAATGAATTTGTAGACTTGAGGAAATTAATGAAAATGCAAAAAGAGAGATAGAAATTATCAAAAAGAAATTAAGAAACAGCCAGGCACAGTGGCTCATGCCTGTAATCTCAGCACTTTGGGAGGCCGAGGCAGAAGGACTGCTTGAGCCCATGGGTTCAAGACCAGCCTGGGCAACATGGTGAGACTTCATCTCTACAATAAATTTTAAAAGTTAGCTGGGTATTGGCGCACACCTGTAGTTCCAACTACTTGGAAGGCTGAGGTGGAAGGATCGCCTAAGTCCAGCAGGTCGAGGCTGCAGTGGCATGAGCATGCCACGGCAACTCCAGCCTGGGTGACAGAGTGAGACTCTGACTCAAAAATAAAAAAAGAAAAGAAAAGAAATTAAGAAACAAGGAGATAAAAGGAAACGGTCCAAACTACATCAAATAGACTGGCATAGAGATAACAAAAATAATAAAGGAGACAAAATATATTCAGAGAAAATGGCTGAGAATTTTCTAGAGTTAGTAAAAAAAAATTCTGAATTCAATTAAAACATTATATAGTAGTGCTTAAAGGGAAATGTATGCCATTAAATGCTTAACCTGGAAAAGAAAAAGTTCTCAAATCAATAATCTAAGATTTCACTTTAAGAAACCAGAAAAAGAAAATTAAACCAAAGTAAGTGAAAGGAATGAAATAATAAAAAAACAGAAATAAAGACAGCAGAAAAATAGAGAAAAATCACAATGAGACAAAAAGACGGTTCTTTGAAAAGATCAATAAAATTGAAAAGTCTCAGGCAACCTCTTCAGGTCCCCTCCCACTGGGGGAGCTTTTCTGTCCTCTCAATAAACTCTGTTTTCAAAAAAAAAAGAAAAGAAAAGGAAAAGAAAAATCTCAGGTAGACTAAGAAGAAACAGTGCAAACAAAATTTCCAATATTAAGAATGAAAGAGGGGATATCACTACAGATTCAACAGATATTGAAAGACTAGTAAGAAAATATTATAAACAACTGTAGGCTCATGAAACAAAATATAGACAATGATAATAGTATTTGATAGAAACAAACTATCAAAGCTTATTCATGGAAAATACATAACTTGAATAGGCATTTTAACTATTAAAAAACAGTATAATTTGAAGTTTAAAAAAGCTTCCAACAAAGAAAACCACAGTCCCAGATGGCTTCACTGGTGAATTCTTCCTCTTCCATTTGCAACAGTTTGGGTAGCATTACTTCTGCCTTAAATATTTAGAAGACACAGGCTGGATGTATAGATATTTCTGAAATCTTCTCTATCTTCAGTAAAAATAATCAAACTTTCCTGCTCTAAATCAGTGAAGAGTGACACTTTTTAATTAATACCTGAACCAGCTACTTCTATGAAGTGCCACCTCCACCTTGTGGTCCTTCGTGGAACTGTTGCTAAAAACACATTTGAACAAATTTGACCTCTTAGTATTAATGTTTCTGAATTACTGACAGATTATTTAACTTTCAGGATTCAAAATCAATGAACTGGAATTCTCTGAAATTCTCAAAATCTAAGTTATTCTTTTTTTTTCCTAAAGTTAGTCTTTAAATACATTTTTTTAAACTGTTATATGAATATCTTTTTAAAAAATTATTTAAATAGTATTAGTACAGAACTGTAGCCTACAGTAAATATTCAAATGCTAGACCACCTGTGGGATTACTGGACAGTAATAAAAGAGTACTAAACAAAATCACACACCAAAAATGCCAATTTAAGCATTTATATTGCTTTGAAAGCTTATTTCTTGGAACACCATTCTTAGAATTTTGTCAAGTATACTATGTATAAACTCACTAATATTACTTAGCAGTAGACAAAGCCATGAGCACATATAAAATGGCAACACCTATAATCAGAACTGATTTTTGATCAATTCTCTCCAAGGAGCTCCTGATGATCTTAACCTTTGATT